AATGCATATTTTTGATACATTTATATAAAAAAGATTATATATTATATATCAAGCACTTGTATGAATATATAAGAGTTAACATGAGATTAATATGAGATTTTCATTTTTCCCAAATAATCCCAGTTTGTATATTACTAAGATAATATCTTTATATACTACGAGCTTTTGGTTTTTCCATTCCTTTGCCGCTACAATCTTCGGTTTGGGCCAACAGTAGCAATTTAGCGATTTAGGTGGTGCTTGCAAATGTTCTTCAATGTTCTTCACCGCCATACTTTTTCACAATATGTTTCTTCGTCTAAAAAAAAATAAAATATATTATTGCACGGTTGTAATTGAGATCTCTAAATACTTTACCACATCGTTAATTTCATTGAACTCATCATCAGGTTCTCTTTTGCTGGGCAAAGAACTGGAGGGAATCAGATCATCCTCTAAAAAGTGATGTCGTTGTCTCGCCTTAGTTTGACTTTCTATTTTCACTAGAAATGTTTCGCTCAGCTGACGTTGAGCTTCTTCCACACTTTCTCATGAAAACTCATGAAAATCGGAGACTTTAAACCAACATGTATTGCAAATAACTGTAGATATTGGATCATCTTGAAGTGGCTAGAAATTACTAAGTATTCCTGATTTCTGTTTGAGCGGAAATTTTCAAATAGTTTGTTTACCTCAAACCAGAAATGCTTTCCTACTATTGATGCCATATTAGATTTAGATTTACTGCCAGTCACGTCGAATATATTAATAAATTCTTCAATCTCTCTTGTACACAAGCGACAAATCATAATTACTCACATTTGTATGCATAAACATCAAAAAGTTAGAATGTTATAAACCTGGAGAAGTACGTAAGAATTTCTAAAGTATTTCAGTAAATATTTTCTTCTTTTTAATCTGTCCGAACTACAATGTTATGAATACAATCGAGAATCGAATACTCCTAATTTTGTCTTGTGATTCCCAGCTGCCGTGACGATTATGTACTAATATCCGTTCGCACCCATCGATAACTTTGTGTTCATACCCACATATATCACAGGGTAAAATTAAATGAACAAAAAAAAAACAACTATTTAAGATATCTGATTAGGTTTTGCTAGGCTAAACAATTTTTGAAGTAGTAAAAGTTTGCTTGGATTGTAGCCATAGTGAGAGTTTATTCACACAGACTACTACTTTCACCTCTCTATATCCTTCCCTTTCTTCACTTCTTCTTTCTGGCCATTCCCATGATTGGCCATCAAAAAACAAGAATCTTCCTTTCCAATTGATGCAATATTTAAAAAAATTCCATATTTTTATTACATATAAATCACTGCAGTTGAATTATATGGCAAGCATATCTATATGTGCCTCCCGACCCTTCCGTGTGAATTGTGGCTCATAAGTGTCTAAAAATTTCTATATTCACAAGAGAAAGACTCTAATAGGTATTGCTTTTAGCAAGTTTTTCTTTTACTCCTTAAGGTTTTTTTCTATTTGAATCGAACAGGTTCGATACGATCCATTTTTTCCATTTGCTGGTATAGTGGTTTGAAATGGAAATATATATTTACCGGGTGGTAATACCAACATTTGAGTTCCACCACTTTGTCCGTAGACATACCGTTCGTTACTGTAGTATATTTCAGAGGCGGAATAAGTTTCAATAGACTTTTGACGTGCCCCATGAGTATCTTGCTTCGTAATATGCTCAGTCCAACGCACTTCAGCAAAACCGCTTACTGTTATAATAATACCTATGAGACATAAAGCACGGATTAAATTCTATTAATAGAAATTCAAAATTATTTTTGGCCAACGGCTTTATTAGAGCATACGATTTAGTTGAATAATTATAGATAAGTCTCTTTACGAAAGATCATGTCTCTATTCAAGCACATAGTTTAGTCAACCACTGAATTTTGAATGCTTTAGGAATTCATTACGTTGTTACTATCAATTTGAATCGCAAACTTAATTTAATTGATTACAATGACTGTTAAATCTACAAAAGCAACAAACATAAAGAAAATAGTTGATATGACTAAGTTGAATAAATTATAAAAATATATGTATCACTATATCGCAAAAATATACCTTGCTCTGTAAAGCAAGAAATATACTCATTTCCCACAAATAGTTTAACAATTGTTCCTCGTTACTAGCATTTTTAAAATGTGCCTTCATGTCAAGCATATTGTGCCGTTTTGCTGCTTTTCAACGGTCAAGTGCTAAGCCTGAAACTGATTATAGACTTAAAGTTATTGAGCGACGAAAACGATTTCCGCGGCAAATGCAATAACGACCAACAGCATTCCCAACTAAATGAATTGTTATCTACCGCGTTTGTCGATGACATCCGTAGGTTATTGAAACGTGGTGTTACTCAACCTATATTGTCTTTGGATAAATCTTCTTCGCCATATATAGCAATGCTTTTCGATACATATAACTTGTGCTCTGAAGTATGAAAAGATAAAGAGAATTTGTAGTTTATAAACGTATATACAGCAGAACTTCCCATTCCTAGCTGCAACAGCCTATCCTTGACAACTCTGACAACACGTGGCCAAAATGATATTTTCAGTCAATTCGTATGGTAACCATTTTAGCCGCTGTTGCAAAAAACATTAGCAGTAGCGGCTAAAACCTTTACCACGCGAATTGACTAAAAACGCCATTTTGATCATTTGTTGCAAGAGGTGTAACCTGGAGGTCCTTATCTTTATGAATCAGTCTTTCTATTGAATCTTTTTTAAACACTGGATGATTATCTGAATATCTGAATTCAATTAGTAACGTACTGCTGGAATGGTAACATACTGCCCCATATTTCCGAAGAAGCTAATTATAGGCACGATGGAATATGAGATGATGCTGCAGCCTTATCACAACAATAAATAGCGGGGATACGTGCTTTGAATGAAGCCTTGCTTGTCGAATAACGCTGCGAAATTTTACCCTATCGTTGCCTCTAGAAAACAAGAAAATCGCTAGCGGGGGCTACTAGAGATTTTTAACAGCAATATATTTTTATATACTTTAAGTTTAATATATTCTCCTTTTTTAAGGGAGAACACAAAAAACCGGTTCTTTTCTTTTTGTTTCCTTTTTTCCTTCTTTTGTTTCCGTGTGGTAGT